ATCCCGAACAACAACAGAACTGGGGAGCATGTCAATCCCGAACAACAGCAGAACTGTGCCTGCACCAAACAAGCAAGGACCTTAACAATACAGTGTAACATGTATTTACACAGCATTTACATTGTATTAGGAATTAGAAGGAACCCAGACATGACTGAAAGAACACAGAAAGGTGCTGGTATGTTATGTGCAAAATTTCTTAGCAGTTTCTACAAAGGGCTCCAACATCTGCAGGATCTGGTACTCAGGAAATGGGGCACCTTAGAATCATCCTCCATGGATGCTGGGGTTGATTACACATCTTAGTTTTCAAATGAATTTAATGGCTAAGCAGCGTTTGCCAGACATGCAGGAGGCTCTGGTTAAAGACAGAGCTGGCAAGATGGCTCAGCTAGTAAATGTGTTTGCCATCAAGGCTGGCAACCTGAATTCAATCCCCGGAGCCCATGTGGCGTCACTAGCCGTCCTATAGCCTCCACACACATGTCATGGCATGTGAGTGCACACACACTCACATAAATAAATGTAATAGTAATTTGTCTTTTAAGATTTAAAAGAAATTGAACCGTGCTTACAAGGAAACAAGCCCAGAGAAGGGAGTTAGATCACTCACAGTTTGAAGGAGACTTGGACGACCCAGGTCAGCCCTTCCCAGGAAACCCTGCTTTCCCATTTACCCTGCAACAGAAGCAGCCCTTCTGCCTCTCCCTTGGAGAACGTCCATTAGCTCTCTACTGCTCACTCCTGGGGCCCTAGTGGCACCCAGGCCTGGTTTTGCCTCCAATTCTCCCTCCCCCATCTCCATTCCACCTCCCTAGCCCTACCCACTCCATCCATCCCTCTCCTCCGGAGATGTTAGGTCCACCTGTGCCCCACTGTCCAGTCCATCTCCTGCCCACCCCTTCCCCTCCTCTATCCCAGGCTTAGCACTTACTGGTCCCTTGCTTGCAGTACAGTCCTCATGCCTGCCCCTCACTCTGCCCAGCCTCGATCGCACACGGTGTCCTGTCTCATAGCTGTCCCGCCCCTTCTGTCATCTCTTGGTGCAAACCCCTCCCCTTTACCAAGGACCTCCCAGAAAGCCTAGCCCCCATCTAATTCTCCAAGGTATCTACAGGCTGGGAAGGCGGGCGTGGGGGCTGGAACTGTGTACTATGTCAGGTTACTCAGGCTGCAAGCCAAGGCCTCTTCCACTCTCCCACCTCCAAGCAGCACATCCACAGTGGTCTGCAAGGCCTTCTTACAGAAAGGAGAGGGCCCAGCTCTGCCCCCACCCTGCTCTGGGTGTCCTCCTGCCTGTAGATAGCAGAAGCCTGCCCTGCTCTAGGATGTCCACACAAAAGCCAGCCACTTGGCCTCTAGGAGCCCGAATCGAATCCCACTTCAGCCTTAACTTAGAACAAACCCATGGTCCTTGCCAGGGTTCCCCATCTGGTCGCCTCCCCCCATACCTTGGCTTTCTTTTATGTTCTGGAACTTGCCACATCTGTCCCCACACTGTGCCTGCTGCCCCTCCACCAGGACACTCCCCAGCCATCCAGCTCCCTGTCCTCCAGCTGGCCACTACCCAAAGTCACCATCTGTTTCCTCCTCAGTCACCCTATCTGAACCAGCCCCTCAGATTAACACTGGCATCCCTGAGTCTGAGCGATCACCCTTCCCTGTGAGGGCCCTGAGCACCAGCCTGGGTACTAAGGCTGCAGCAGGGCTCACGGGGCAAAGAAGGCAGGCCCCTGTCTCTGTGTGTAGGGACAGTGTGGCTACCTCTAAGACTCAGAGTGGTTCAGGACCCCCAGGCCGTGCCCACCCAGGCAGCTCTCCTCTAGGTTTCCCTGTGGCTTGGAGGACTAGCCAGGGCGGAATAACCAGATTAGCCTAAGCGGCTCCTCTTGTTTCCTCACGTAATTGGATCGAGGCCGTGTTTCAGTGTGGCTGCATTTAATATTGTAATTCTGCAGCTGCCTCTTCGCTGAGCGCAGCCACCAGGCACAGCCACGCAGGGCTGCGGGCAGGGGGCTCTGTGCTAAGAGGGCCAAAGAGCAGGAAGCAGAGACACCGTCTGTGCCTACAGCCACCACTGCTGGGCAGGGTTGTGGATGGGCACTTGCAGGGCATTTCCACTTCCCTGTGCCTGACGTCAGGCCTGAGATACAAACAGGAAGGGTCCAGCTAAGGGAGGGTCTGGGAAAGGAGCATCACTGAGGTTCATCCAGCAGAGGCCATAGTCCCCAAGAGTCCAAACATGTATTACATTGTCACTTTTCAGGGAACACGGCTAAGAAGACATGTCCATGGCCACCGCAGTCAGGAGTCCAGCCAGGCCTTGTATCTGTGGGTGCTCCCTGGGCTGTCACGTTGCTAGGTGACCCCAGAGACCTAAGTTTGGATGCTGAAAGTGCATCCAGGGACTAACGGAAAAGGACGTGTGTGCCGTCCCTTTGTGAGTGTGTCGGCTGGTGGGCATCCACTAGTGTGTTGGTAGCCCAGCCCACCCCTGGGAACAACACTCCCTGCCCTCAGCTCGAAGTGCTGGGGCTCAGCACCTCAATGTAGCTCAGTTGGTAAAGTGTCTGCCTGGCATGCACAAGTCCCTGAGTTCGATTCCCAGAACCACATAAACAGGGAATGCTGCCACACAATCTCAGGCCTCGGGAGGTGGAGGCAAGAGGATCAGAAGTTCAGAGTCATCCTTGGCTACATCTGAGTTTGAGGTCAACCTGAGTACGTGAGAGCCCATCTTTAAAAAGACATAGGGGGTTCTGAGAACAGGGCCAAGGTGAGGTGGCCCTATTCTTAGATGCCCCTCCCCAAGACATGGCTTCAGAGACTGGCCACTCTTGAGCCCTGTGTCCAGATGCAGACACATCCCACTGCTTGGCCAGATACCTGGTGGAAAATGAGTTGCCGCCCATGTGGCTCCGGGTGGTTCTGAGCATTTTGAAGACCTTGGGACAGATCAGTTTCTTATACCCCAGATTATGGGCACTAGGACTTTGGGTCCCCAGCCCCCCAGGCCCTCTTCCCACCCACCCCATGTGGTTGCAGAATTGGCGACAGCCCCCATCCATCACTCAGCCCTATTTTTAGGAGGTGATAACCCAGCTGTGAAATTCACTCCCCGTGAGGAAGTCAGTCTCAAGCGGGTAATGAGCAAGGATGGCAGGATGGGAGGCAGCCTGCCGCAGACGGGGGCAGAGGCTGGGGTGGGTGTGCAGATCCAGGTCCTACCTCTGCCCTGCCAGTGCCCAGCTGCTCTGGGCCTCCGTTTCCCCAGATATCCAGTACACTATCTCCCTTGTCACAAGTTGGCTCTTACCTCCTGGGTATCTTGTACTTCTTCCTTGTAGAATCGACAGATAAAATACAGGAATGTGTTAACATGTATATTTCAGACAAACAACAAATACGTTTTCATATAAGCCTGTCTCACGCTTTGTATGAGGTAAACTTATGCCATACAAGAAAGGATGCTTTCTTCTCTGAAGTGTCATTGTTTAAGGGTCTGGTGCTTCATTTACTCAGTCTGATAGCTGCTTTCCATGGGGCAAGCCTCCCTCCCCTCATTGTCAAACATGACCAGGTGCTAGGAGAGAGGCCAACAGCCTCGCTGGCCCCTTCCTCCCCACAGCTGTCATCCCCTCTGCTTTTGGGCCATAAACCACCCACCCCAGGCTTTGCCTAGATCAGACTTCCAGCTCCTAAATGCAGGGAGGACCAGCCTTTTCCTGGGCCCTTCCTCTCTGAGCCTCAGCTTTCCCCTCTGGAAAAGGGGATAACTGGGTTAATAAGTGTCCACCAGGGGGTGAAATGAAGAGTACCTGGGTAGACCAGCTGAGCTGTTGAATTAAAGCTGTTCACAGACCCACGGACCCCCCACAGGACCCTCAGCAGGACCCATGGCCAGCCTGCTGTGTGTGTGTGTGGTTCTGGGTGCTGGAAGTGAGGAGGGAGATACATGCTCCGGACGAGGTGAGCCTCCGCACCTGCCATGCTCTGCAGGAGTCGTATTCAAGTTAGATTGCAGCGACTCCATCTTCCACCTCCAGAGGGAAGGGTCCTGAGGCACCTCAGTGGAGTGCCAGGTTCCTGCTTGAGATTGTAGAAGGCTGAAGCATGAGGTGAAGAGGGCAGGATTCTGTGGGACAATGGGGAGGATCCAGTCGCTGGGGTCCCTCCCCTGTGGGAAGGAGGGCCAGAGAAAGAGCAGTGGAAGGGGGGCTGTGCTCTGGACGGCTCCCCTCAGATCTTCCCTGCGTGTCACCACAGCTGTGAGAGTTGTCTTTTAGATCTGGTGCGGTGAGCCAAGACCCGAGACAGAGAGGGGGAAGCCAGAGCCAAACACCCCACCCTCCTCCCACTGTACCTTCACTTGTCTGGGACTCTGCCACTGAGAAGCTTTGGATTCTTTTCTTAACCTCTCTGAGCACCCGGTTCGCTGCTGTAAAACAGGAACGGGAGAAGGGGTGCCTGTCAGATATCAAGCTGTGGTGGTGCCCAAGCTGGGGTCATGAAAGATGGGAGGGACCTCAGCAGCTAGATGAAGACAGTGCACCCCTTCATAAGAGCAATATTGGGGGGGGGCGTTTGGAGGGAAGGAATGAGACAGGGGAAGGCAGGTCAACCAGCATCTATATGACCCAGGATTCCCTGGGAAGATGAGGCTGTCATGTGTTGATCATGGCCTTAAACCCCTGTGGGCTACCCTATGGGGTTAGCCTCAACTCTGGTTTCCCCAGTGGAACCAGAATACCCAGAGAGGGTAAGGTTCTTCCTGAAGGCACAATGGCATCCATGCTTACACCGAGGTCAAGGGCTCCCTGTGTCCACACCCTCCCTTAGCTCTGGCTCCCCAACTGTCCTTTCTAACCCTGAGAAGATGGGCACTATGGTCAGGAGTCAGACTAATCTGATGGGAAGTGGCCCTCGTGCCTGGGTGGTATCTCTCTAGCTGGCTACAAGGAAGGCTCCCAGATGGAAAGAGGGTGTAAGACCCAGCGCAGGGTCAGGGATCACCAGCAGGTCAGAGCTTAGGTCCTGCAAGTGACTCCATCACAATCTGCTGGTCCAGGGTAATGCATAGAACCCAGGCACAGGGGCCTCTGAGAGTAGCTTGGACTCACAGGGCAGCTTGAATGGGATCTTGCTCATGGGAGGAAAGGTGTTTAGTAACCAGACAGGCTAGGAGTGCACTCCACCTGGAGGAGACCCCAGGTCAGCAATGGACCAGGGTCTATTATGGAGGGTCTGCAAAGGAAGTAAGGAGCAGAAATGACACAGGTGTTGCTGCTCTGTCCTTTACTGTGTGACTGTGGGTCAGAAACTTAACCTCTCTGAGCAACTTTCCTTATCTGCAATATGATAGGACCCCCCAGCAGGAGGCTAGAGTTTTCTTAATTGTGTTGGATCTCCAAGTCAACCCTGTGGGGCCAGAGGCCCAGTACTCTCTGCCAGCCCCCCATCTCCAAAGCCAGTCAGTTTTCCGTCATCACACAGCCCAGAGGTATTAGCTATGTCAGATCTTGGAACGGTATGGCTCAGGGCTGCAAGAGCTTTAAGTTTGAGGGCTGTGAGACTTGGACATTGGAAAGTCTGGGAGCTACAGGATCTCGGGGCTGTGAGAGTCTAGGTCTGTGGGGGTCTAGGAGCTGCTGTGTCTGCAGGTTCTGGAAAGGTAGTAGCTGCTACCTCAGGGTATGGGGGCTACAGTGAGGCTAGAAGCTGCAGGACTTGAGAGCTGTGCAGTCTGAGGCTGCAGGGGCTGCGTGAAAACTGGAACCTGCAGGGGTCTGGAGGTTTCAGAGTCTGGGGACTGCTGGTGCTGGAGAGGAGAGCTCTCTACAAAGAGCTGCATGATATGGAGCGATTGGGTTTCTGGGGCTGCGGAGCATGAGGATACAGTACCCTCCCAGAGCAAGAACTGAATGGGCCTGGTTTTTCTCTCCTTGGGAAACTGTAGTGTATACCCCACTAAGGCCCAGTTTTTACTCCCCCAGGAGCATGTTTGGGAGGTGAGAACCCCCCTCACACACACTTGCACACCATCTGATGTGCCAGACTGCCCAGGCTGGCAGCCGGCACAGCTGTGCAGCCCCAGCGCCTGTCTCTGGCCCTCGCCTCTCATACCTGTACTTGGGCCAGCATGGGCAGCCCCAACTCAGCAGGCGCCTGACACTAATTGTGAATTAATAAGTTAATTAATAAGTGCCACATCCGACCTCAGCGAATCCTTCCAAAACCCTCCAGTTTCATTCTGCCATCTTAAGTATGCCAAAATGAGGGGGTTTTTTAGCCAGAAGAGAAACCAGGCATAGAGAGTAGGGCTCAAAGGCAGATCTCTAAGGTCCCCAGTGCAGCCTGGGCTACCTCAGGGAATAGGATATAGATCTAAGAGTAGGAGGGTCACAGGAGGAAGGACAGGTTACATACAGCCTCTGGGTCACAGACATCTAGGTCCCCACCAGCACATGACAGGAGCCTAAGAAGTGTTTCTGAATAAATGGATGGTTGAATGTAGGGGGAACTGAGGCAGAAGCAGGCAACCCTGACGATCTGTGCTGGGTGCCCCGTGGCCCTCAGAAAGCTGGGCTTGGTGTCTAGACATGTGGCTCTGTTTCTGGCCCTTGTGCTAACTAAGTCTTGGCCCCTTCCTGGATCACACAGAACTGGCAATGGGAGCAGATCAGACCTGTCTGCCTTGGGAAAGGTCACTGTGAGAACATGACCCTTTCCCTAGGAAATTACAGTCACCAGATACACAGAAGTGCAAGCAAGTGTCAGGGTTCACAGGTCCAAGTACTCAGGTTAGGGACCCTAGAGTCATACATGGCTAGAAGCCACAACCAAAACTAAGGCAGACACTCCCCAATTCTGAGAGCATTCCTAGTTAATGTGCCCTTTGCAGATCCAAGCTGAAGCCAACAGTGTTTCCAGGGCACCAGGTGCAGGGTGCCTCATTATCTCTGCCCCAGAGCACTGGAGATCAAGACCTACACTGGGCTCCATTTGCATAGAGGGTCACAGGCATTTGGTTCATCATTATGCTTCATAACTGAGAGATGGCACATGTATTCTCTGCTATTTAGCAAATGTTATGTAATTATTTTTTTTTTTTTTAAAAAATTAAAGACAGATCAGCTGGACCTAATTTTAGCTCCTGGGATTCCTGCCTTCTGGCTTCCATAGTCTCTCCTGGCCCCTCCCCGGAGCTGGGGGTGGGGCAGGGAGGGCCGGTCTGAGTTCTGAGTTCATTCTATTTGGGCTCACATCAGCTTGTCTGCCGGGAGGATTTAGTGCACGGCCATGGTCAATAGTGCGTTTGTTTTGCTATCGACCTGCCAGGCAGCTCCCAAGCTGCCTATCCCCTCCACAGCTGAGTCCTCTCCAGGCTGTGGGAGCCAGGACCTGGAACAGCCATCAGGCCAATCTGGGGGGCTTCCAGCCTCTTGGCACTGCCAGTCCCTGTCCACAGCCTGGCCTGGGTGACTCTCAATTCACAGCCCCCCAAGGCGACATCCCTTCATGGTCCAGTCCCTGTGTTCCACAATCCTAGAGAGGATGGGATGTTGCAATTGCTAGCCCCATCAGACTCTGGGGCCTCTTGCTTGACAGATGACCCCCAGGGTGAGGGACTTTGGGACTACTCTGTGGAAAGCAAAGCCTAGAGAGACACCTCCTAGACGGGCAGCAGTTTCCTGGGATGGGACACTGCCTTCATCAGTCCTCCAGGTCTGGAACCAGTTCAGGTTAGCAGTGGCCATCTGGGGAGATAGCCCAGGGGATGCTCCCCTTGGCTTCTGCCTAGCCAGGCCCCTGGTAAGAGGAAAGGTAGACACTGAACCTCTGTCTCTGAGTTGCCCTCATTTGTTCATTCAGCAAACATTATCAGAGAGCTGCTCTGGGCTGGGGCCAGAGGTGGAAACCACAGGCTGGAATCTGGGAGGCAAGCACCCCATTACAGCCTTATGCAGAGTGGAAAAGGATGTGGCTTCCCAGAGAGGACTGAGGGACTTCTGAAGCTGGGAAGGCTGTTGCTGGGGGTGCCGGGGAGGCCCTATGGGAGCCTTGGTGAAAGCCTTTCTGCAAGCAGCTCTGAGGGATAAGTGCAATTTTGACAGGGGAGGAAGGCACAGCAGGAGGAGGGCCCAGCGGGGGCAGAGGCCTGGCGCACATCCTGGTGCACAGAGAAACAAGAGATGCGCGTGGCTCCTCTATGAACCGTGGAGGTCTTTGGAGTGTGGAGAGGAGCCAGCCCCTTCTTGTCCACTTAGCCAATCTCTGGAGGGCTCAGTCCCACACACCCACTTCCCCAACTGTATCAAAGGGGACCCCCACCTCCTTCTTTTCTTCCCCTCCCCCCTCCAAAATGAGAGAGGAAAAAAAAAACTATTATTGTTCACGCCTCATCTCCCCCCAAAGTTATTAAATTTCATTCCACGAACAAATAAATCCATTTTTATTGCAGCAGGAGGAACGGGCAGTGGTTTGGCTGTTTTACCTTTTTTATTTTTCAAAGTCCTGTTAAATCTGCTGGGATCATCAGGGATGCCTCCTCTGCCCGAGCACACGCCTCCCTCCTGCCTCTTCTCCTCCTGGCCTAGCTGGGTCCCACCTGACCTGCTGCTCTCGCGTTCTCAGGAGACCTTCTAGTCCCCAGCCTGCCTACCGGGAGGGAGGAAAAACTCTGCCAGCCTCCTGTTTGTTTGGCATTTTATAGTTTTCCTAACACTTCCCGCGCACGCCTCCCGCAGAGCCCCTGATGGGGAGGCATTGCCTGCTCCGTTTTGCAAAGAGAAAATAAGCTGAACCGCCGGCGGCTCTGAACCCTCCTGGTAGTTTTGAGAGCCTCAGGGACAGCCCCCCCCCATCCAGTCTTTGATCGCCTCCCCAAGCCTGGCTTATTTGGGGTGGAGGGCAGCATGGTTTTGTTAGGCATCTCAGACATCCCACTCAATACAACAGGGGTGTCACACCTCTCATTTCTGTCACCTAAAAGCTATGTGACTCCCAGGTTCAGTCTCTGTATCCGTGGCAGGGGCATAGTAACAGCACCCCTGCAGGTCACCACCGGATATGAGAAGATGTGGGGACAAAGCCCAGTGTTGCCTTCCCCTTCTCACCACGCCCCTCCTGTCCAGAGCTTACCTACCCCCAGCTCTGCGAGCCTGTAGGATGAGCTGGGGAAGGTGAGAGGGCTGGGGGAGCCTTTGCCACTGGATCTGCGCTGGACTCCCAAGCTGAATTCTCTTCAAGGTTATTTTTCTCCCTCAACCATTTGCTAAAGACTTAATGGCTGTCAATAAGATGCCTGTTGCATCGCAGAGCCAGCAGCTAGAGGTTTCCCGGTGAAACGTTAATGGCTCCACTGCCCAAGCCAGGCCCGAGTGTCACCATGCACAGCTGAGAGTGTACCCTTCAGGGAAGTGCCTCTGTGCTGCCTCTGTGCCCAGGATCAGACCACTGCAAGGGTGAACTGGTCCCCACTTTTGGGGAAATTCCACCTCTCCAGCTAGGATTCCCTGTGCTCACCCCTTCCCCACCCGAGGGTCAGCAACACCAAGACTCTGGCCCTGACTCCAGCCTGTAGGAGTGGTCTAATCTGTCCCTCTACAGTCTGTCCTGAGCCACCACCTTGTTCCAGTGGAGCCTGGAGAAGCGCCTTGTGGTCCATCTCCTCTCCCAGTAGCCCCCCACCCCCACCCCCACTCCAGGCGCTGACAGCTGACAGCTCCCTGAACAACCAGGCCTAGCAGCACCTTCACCTCCAGGATGGGAACTGTCTTGGGTGTCACATGGGATTGTGGCTCCAGGTTAAAGTGTCCATCACCTGCCACATAGACCCCAGTTCCCTCCCCACTGCTCTCCTGTCGCTGCCTCTCTGCCCAAGGTCAGGAGAGGGGCTGTCACTACACCCCACCCACAATTCTAGACCTCTGTCTTCTGCCCCCACCTTACCCTGTGCATCTCCCCAAAGACACCCACCCACCCACCAGCACAGGATACTATCAGACCAGACAGCATCAGGTAACCTTCCCCAGGCTGTCTTCCAGCACCGGGGCCACTCTAACCTGGAGAGGGGGCAGGGAAGCAATCGCCAAGGCTGTCAGAGCCGAGGCAGAGAAGTGCTGCTGGAGGTCCAGGCTTGTGATGAGCAGCAGATCTGAGCTCGCTGTCTAGGCACCCAGGATTGCTGGTTGCAGCTGCAAGAGACAGGAGTGGTGAGGCCAGGGAATGCAGAAGCAAAGGTTCCCAGTGCATGGAGCCAAATGAGAGCCACTGGGCCTCCATGGCCTCAGTTTGCCTGTCAATCAGATGGGAATGCTGGACCTGGCAGCTTTGTGTGGATGTGTGCTTCATTCTGCCATCAGGAGTTATCCCAGGACCTCATGCCTGCAGCAGGCTCTGTCCTCTACCAAGTCTGATTTGTGCCCATTCTCCTCCAAGGTCTGGACCTCCAGCAAGGGAGGTGCTGCAGAACTCATCTTAGTTTACAACTTCCAGGCCTGCCTGGGGCTGGTGGGTGTGGCTAGGCAGCCAAAACCTCTAGCTTCCAGCTACCTGGACTGCAGGGGTCTCTGGCACAGCCGTAAACAGAAGGCAGGAGAAACCTTGCTGACATCACCCAGTGTGACGCCTGCCAATTCAAACGCATTTCAACGCCATTAATTTACATTTTGATTCGACTTTCTTAATTTTACTTCAACTTCGTTCAACTCCAGTTTGAGAATCATTTTAATGTATTTATCTGTGAGGCAATTTGTTAAATAACCCCCAAGACTCGGCGGTTTTCCGTCCTGAGCTTTTATTGCAAGGCTGTTTTAAATTAAATTAGTCGTCAGGGTCCCTGAGTGCATTGTAACGGGATGAGTTCACCGCCAGCCCACTCGTAAAAGTTGCGCAAACCTCTGGCTAAAAGCACACGCATAGGAAAGCAGGAAGCAGTTGCTCAGCTGCTCAATGGCCCTGGGGGCCCTGGGGAGAGATGTGGCGGTGGCATAGCCACCCACCCTTATCTGTGAAACAGACTGCTCTGGGTAGCACCCCCAGGTCACAAGCTGGGGCTGCAGCCAGCCAGGCCTCTCAAGAACAATTGTGAGATCTGTGCAAACCGAGACCGCACCTTCCCCTGTTGGCTCAAGCCTCAGGCCACCTGCTCCAGAGAGCAACCAGCAGGTGTGTGTTGGGAGCCAGTGGTGGCTTGGTAAGGTTGTGTCATCATCTCCCTGGATGCTGGGAGAGCAACTGAGCCTGCATCCTGGTCTCTGTTTTAGGTTCCAAGCCACAGAGAAAACTGCTGGGGAGGAGTTTGTGGGGAGCGAGACCTGTCCCCCAGTCCCTGGCTGTCCCTTCCTTCCTGTGAATCTGAGCTGGCATCTGTGCTGGCTGTCACCTGTGTTGGGGGCATGGTTTGTGAGCTGAAAGGCGCAGGTATTGAATCTATATTTCATTTTCACGTCCGTAGCTGCTATTTTGTGCGATAATGGATTCCCTCTCCGCATCCTCCAGGAGAGCCGGGCAGTGGGGAGGCTGAGTGTCCTCTTCTGGGGGGTTGCAGGGTCTCTCTCCGCACCACTCTGCACCCATCTGTGTCTCCCGGTAGCTGAGCCAGCCTCCTACCCACCACCCACTTGGGGACACTTCATTCTGTCACTAGTCCCGTCAAGCCTCTCATTCCTCAGGAAGCCGGCAGGGCTCTGTTCACACAAGGTTCATGATGGCTCCCAGTGAGAGAGGGATCAGGGTACCAGGGCTCTGCAGTATGTGGGGGACAGTGTCAGTTGGGTATGGGGCTGTACGTATAGAAGAGACATCGGTGGCAGAAACCTGGCTCTACCTCCCAATTCTGGACCTTGCACCATAAGCTTGATAGTCTGTGCCGCGAGTCACCCCTCAGTAATGTGTTTCCCATGGGATTTACCTTGGGGTTCTGTCACCTCAGCCGTCCCCAGACATCCTCAGAGGACCTCACACATTGCGCGCCCATGGGGAAGCAAAGCATCGCTGAAGCAACCTGAATACTTTGAGGGTTTTGTTGTTGTTGTTGTTGTTACGGATTCCTGGCAGACCTACAGCTCCCTATGTAGACCAGGCTAGCCTGAACTAAGAGATTCTCCTGCCTCTGCCTCCAGAGTTCTGGGGTTAAAGGTGTGTGCTGCTATGCCGGGCCTTTTTTCTTTCTCTTCTCTGCAGTGGGGTTGGGATGGCTGGATGCAGGACCTTGCACATGCCAGGCAAGCACTCTTCCACTGGGCTCCACTCATCTCTAAATTCGTCTTTCTAGCCCTTTGGCAAGCTCCTATGCATGCATCCAGACCATGCAAAGGTCACCTCTCCTGGGAAGCTCCCTGGGACCTCAGCCAAGTGTTCTGCTTTGGAGGGGAGGGAATCCATAAGTGGCACATCTGACCAGGTAAAGACCTGGCTGCATAACCCCCAAAGAGGGGTATCGAACACCCAGGGGTACATGCCGTGCCAAATGTGTGCAAGGCTCTATGTTCTAATTTTGGCACCAAAACAAAAACAAGCAAGACCTTCCAAGACCTTGTGGCTTTAGAACAAAGCCCAGCCTGCTGCAGGTGTAGGGACAGGGCTGCCCACCCTCTCCATCTCTACACCTTGCTCTCTGAGCTGCCTGGATCCTAGGCCCATTCTACCCTGCAATTTCCCCCAAGGCTGTGCTCCAGGGGGACCAGTTACACGCATCATGGGTGGGCTCCGGAAGCACTCCCTAAATGACAGCTTGAACAAACAAATGATCCTGGTCCTTGTGGACCTAGCTTTTGGCCTTTGAGTGCCTGGGGTGTTAGCAGCAGTCCCCCTCTGGCAGCCTTTGCCAGGCTTGGCTGGGGTAGTTGGGGAGGGCAGTGCAGAAGTCAAAGCAAGGCCCTACCTTGCCAGAGGCCCAGTGCTTTGCATGGCACTCTGATCTTGTAGGAATGCATTCTGGGTTTTAACAAGGTCGGAAAAAAGAAGCCAAGCCTTGGCTGTTGGCAGCAGGTCTCAGGAGAGGGGCTGTCATGCACACATGAAGCACCCTAAAGGCCCACCCAAGGCAGGCCCAGGGCTTCTGACCGCTGAGCCAAAAGAAGAAAACAGAATGCCTGCCCCAGGGTCCAGAAGATGGGGTCAGGCCCACTCCTAACCCTGCTCTGCATCTACCTAGTGGACCTTCCTTGGAGGAGGCCCTACCTTCAGCACAATCAGGACTGTCCATGGAGACTGCCGTGTGGCTTCATTGCTCCCTGTCCCCAACCCTGAGCTGTGCAGTTTGGGATCACCCCCGCCCCTTCACTGATGTTTTATTCATGTAAACCCAGCCTGCATCTATGCTTAGAAGAGAAAATAAGGAGAGAGAAAGAGAGAGACGGCGACCAAGGCCTCTGGGGGTTTACGTGGGTGCTGCCCTTCCAAAGGGCATTCTAGAAAGATCTAGATGAGTTCTCTTCCGTGGGTACCTGACAACCAGGGAGCTGGCATTCCATTCGATGGCACTCATTGTCACCTTTTAGTCGCTTGGGGTTCCTTTCAAACCTGTCTGCAGCTCAGCTCACTGGGGAGGGCCTGTGTCCCCAGCCCTCACCCTCAGAAGCCACACTGGCTGGGGCCTGGGAAGAAGCGGGAGGCATTGTCTGTGCTAATTGCATTGTTAGACCGAAGGTGCTCATGCTCGCCTGTCTAATTTGGGGCCTTTATTTAACATGATTGCTGGCTGACAGCCGGGCGAGGATCAGCCACTGCTGCCCACGCCCACGCTGCTGCATTCCCACCACTGTACTGTACTCCTCGGTCCCGTCCTGCCACCCTCCAACACTCTCCCATCACTCACTGTCTTCCCCACAGCAGGTTCGGAGAGGAGGAAGGACAGATGGGGGCGGGGGTAAAGCTTCTTGAGCCCCAAGACTGGCCCGATTATCCGCTCCCTCCCCAGCAAACCCTTCAAGAAAAGCACAAGGTCATTCGCCCAGAAGTTCCCCCGCCTTGCCTCCTGTACACTGGAGCGTCCCCAATGTCCAGCCCCAGTCTCAACTGTTTTGGGGGACCGGGACCGGGTGCCTGGCCTCCTGGTGTTTCACCTGGTAACTCATTAGCCAGTGTTAATCCCATGAAAAACACACTTCTCTCCAACGGTTGAGCTGAAAGAAGTAAGGCCCAAAGAGGTTAAGTGACCAGCCCAAGGGCACAGAGAGATGTGGCCTTTCTGCTGTTCCTCCTGAAAGGTTCTATGGGGATGAGCTTCTACCTCATCCCCTCAAGTGGCCTCACTGAATTCCTCACAGCTGAAAGATGGTACCAAAGTCCAGTCCTTGGCACATCTCATGACCAGTCCTGGATCAGACTGGAGTACAGAAGAACCAGGGAACCAGGCAGAGCCAGGGTTGGGGAAGGCTGGCCTGGGAGAATGAGGCAGGTTGGAGGTGGCTCTCCTGGTCTACTTTGTGGTAGAACCTTGGTTTGATTGATCAGGCCCTACAAAATGGGTGGCATAGAGTAGCTACTTTCCAAGAGGCTTCACCAGAGCAGAGGGACAGGCTCTGTCCTGTCCTGTCTATAGCTCCTTCTGCAGCACCCAGGGACTGTCCTGCTTCTTTCTGCATCTTCTCAGTGTGGGTGCCAGAGGGCAGGGGCAGGTTGGGCCTGACCTGCTAAGATCTGTCACATTTCATCAAGTCCCAAGAGATGCAATGGTTGCCCCTATTCCCAGCCCTCGCAGTCAGCCTGCCCAGTCAATTCCAAGGTGTGGATAGATACAAAATCCTAAACACGGGAGGACCTCTGAATAAACCAAGCCTCAGTCAGCACATCACGGGCTCCCCTATCACTCACCCACTAATTCATGTACCTTATGTTCTTGTGTTTACTAAGCAGCTACTGTGTGCTGGGCATTATGCAAAGCTCAGGGGCTATTCCAAGGAGTGAAGGAAGACAGCTGTGATGTCAGCTGGGCACCTCTGCTTGGTGAAGTCCGGGAGAGCGTCATAGTGCAGGAGGCACCGGCACACAGCCAAGTGGCCATCTCCCCGAAACAGGGATGGTGGATAAAAGCATACAAGGCGAGGGATTGGAGAGTATCTCAAAGGAACGAACACAGCCAGATTTTTTTGGGAAAGTAGCCAATATATGTGGGAGAGAAAGACTGTGTGCGCGCGTGGGGGCCGGGGGTGGGGGTTTCATACACTAAGTCCAAGAGAATCTGATTTAT